AGGGCGCTCTACGCCGCCCCGGCGGCTGCGAGCTGATCTGCGTCACCTTCGCCGACGGCGAGGACGGCGCCGCCGCCTCTGCGACCGTGCGCTCCGTCGCCACCCGCGCGCACCCGTCGCTGCCCGACGCGCTCTCCGCCCCCTCGCCGGCGGGCAGGCTGCTTCTCGGAGCCTCGAGGCGCCTGGCCGCGCACCGCTGTAGGCGCTCGCCGTCTCGGGTCGGAGATCACCCGAGATCGCCCGAGATCACCCGAGACTCACCCCCGGGATAGGCGCTCGCCGTCTCGCCCGACGGGCGGTTCCTCGTCTCGGCCGGCGCCGACGGCATGCTGCGCGCGTGGGCGACGGCGGCGCTGCAGCGGCCCGGCGGGGGGCCCGCGCCACCCCGCGCGTGAGATGCGCCGGGATTCACCGAGGTTCGCCGAGACTAGGCGTGCGAGCCGCGCCGCTGCACGCGTGCGAGCGGTACGTCGGCCACGTCGACCACGTCGCCGGCCTCGCTTTCTCCCCCGACGGCCGCACTCTCCTCTCCGTGGGCGGCGGCGACGCGGCGCTGCTGTGGGACGTGGCGTGGCGCGAAGAGGCGGCCGTTTCGGACGCGATCGCGCAGGAGGGCGTGGACGAGTCGCTCCGGCAGGCGGCGGCGTCGCGGAGGCGCGTGCTCGCGGCGATCGAGGCGGAGGCGGCCGAGGCGAGGAGCGTGGTGCCGGCGCCGGAGCAGCTCCTCGCGCAGCTCCGCGACGAGGAGGGGGGGGGAGAGGAGGAGGGGAGCGAGGAGGAGGAGGGGGGCGAGGAGGAGGAGGGGAGCGAGGAGGAGGGGGGCGAGGAGGAGGGGGGCGAGGAGGAGGGGGGCGAGGAGGGGGGCGAGGGTGGAGAGGAGGTGGGCGGGCGGGGTGAGAGCTTGGAGGAGGAGGGGCGAGGGCGCGGAGCGAGCGGCGGGGCCGAGGAGCAGGGTGCTGCGCCCCCCTCACCCGGTGCCGCTGAGACGTTGGGCTCGAGCGCCGACGAGGACGCCGCGGGCGACGCGGCGAGGGAACTAGAGGCCGCGGTGGGCGAACCCCCTTCCCCCCCCCTCTCCGAGGCGGCCAGATGGATCGCTCACGCCCCTCGGCAACCCCTCGCAGGTGGTGGAAGCGGCGGTGGCACGGCTCGCAGAGAGAATGGCGCGGCTCGAGGCGAGTGACCGACTCCCGTCGCATCAGACCGCGCAGGAGGGCGCGGCGACGGCCAGCCAAACGCGTATTGAGGCGGCGG